TTTGTGTGTGCCAGGCAGGTCCTCTGCTGGTGCTCACTGCATCCTCGAAACAGTCCCATGAGAGAGGTCCTGACGCATACCCATTACATAGGTGGGGGACTGAGGCTCAGGGAGGGGAAATCACCCCCAGGAGAAGGAAGTGCCAGGAAGGGAGCCCTGGCCCCGCTGACTTCCCTATGCCAGGCTGCTTCCTCGGTCCACAATGCAGGTCAGTCAGCTCTGCGCCCTGCAGTGCCCTGTATGGCAGCCATTCAAAAGATGTTGGTTGAGTCAGTTATGAAGTAAAACATCTTTCCAAATAACTTCTATCAATTATCCCATTGGAAACCAGTAAATCAATTATGTGACACTCTTAAAACTTCACAAGCTGCCCTCAAGCTGAGACATCAGATGGAGTATACTTGGGAAAAATGCATTTGGGAGACAGTTATTGGGTGCTTACTATTTGCCAAGACCTGAGAATATAGAGGTGGAGGAGGTTAGAGGTCTGCCAAGTGGAGAAGACAGACATGACATCAGGTCTCGACCGCCCAGTGGGACAGGGACCAACCTACAGAAGGACACCAAAGAGTGGGTCACCAATGTGGCTTAGGGACAAGAAGACTCCACCAAGGAGGCAACACTCAATGGGCTGGGTAAGGAAGACAGCAGGTGCAAAGGCTTGGGATTGTGAAGCGCGGACATGTTAGGGAGGGTGCAGAGCTGGCTGAAGACAGTAAGCATTATGGTTAAGAACCTCGACTTTGAGGTCAGACTGACTTGCATTCAAATTCTGGTTTTGCCTCTTACTAACTAGGAAGTTTCTTCATCCCTCTGAGCCTCCGTTTCCTCATCTGTAAAATGGGTATAATCATCATAGGACCCACTTCCTTATGGGTTGTTGTGAAGATTCAACAAATACACACTGAGTACCTACTGTGTGCCAGGTACCGTCCTAGGTGTTGGGGACACAGCTGTGAACATAACACAAAGGGCTGTGCCCTTATGGAGCTTACATTCTAGTGACATAATGAACGTAAAGCTGAGCACAGGTGTCGGCTGTGGTCGTGAGCACAGATCAGGGGGCACAGAGGGAGATGAAGCTGGATTCCCACCCACCGTGAGGAACCTCGAATGCCCCTCTAGGGGAGGGTCCAGGGAAGCGGGCCCAGATGCACGGAGGCCTGGCTTGCCCAGCCCCCTGGACCTCTGCCCGGCCCCCGCCTCAGGTACCAGCGGAAGTGGGATGAGCTGGCCACGCAGGAGAAGCTGTTCCGCCAGGAGTTTGAGCAGCTGGCCAACAACAAGAAGGAGATCGTGGCCTTCCTCAAGCGCACGCTCAACCAGCGGGTAGACGAGATCGCCGACCTCAATGAGCAGCTCCAGAGCCTGCAGGTGGCCAAGGAGATGGAGAAGGATGCCTTCGAGGCACAGCTCGCCCAGGTGCGCCACGAATTCCAGGAGACCAAAGACCAGCTCACCGCGGAGAACATCATCCTTGGTGAGGGGGGGACCGGCAGGCGAGCTTGGGGGTACACGCCACGGGGGCAGGAATCCAAGGTTCTGGCTCTTTGGGCTCCAATCCTAGCTCTACCATCTTTGTGGCCTCAGGCAAGCACTTCTCTCTGACCCTGTTTTCTCCCCTGGGAAATGGGGATACTGCGTCTACCTTGAATAACAACAGCTATGTGCTGCTTCCCACACATTATCGTCCATAGTTGTCCCAGCAATCCTACATCTGTAGGTGAGGAAGCACCTCAAGAAGGTGAAGTGTCTCACCTGAGGTCACCCAGCTGGCAAGAGTTGTTTTGAGTCTTAATGACAGCACGAATGCCCGGCCTAGAGGTGTTCAAAGTCAGTGGCTGTTGTCACTGGCACTTTCATGAGAGGGGAGAGTGTCGAGGCAGGCTTCTCAGAGGAGATGGAACCTGAACGAGGCTTCTTAAGATTAGTGGAGGAGAAGAGAGAGAACATTCCAGACTAAGGCCATGAAGGTGGGCAGGACTGGGCATGGCATGTGTAGGGACGGGGGTCCAGCCCTACGGGAAGCATAGGGAGGGCGAGAGGGCGTGGAGGAAGTGGGAGAGAGGGGCACGGCTCAAGGCCCTCGCTGCCCCCGCCGGCCCTGCCCTCCGGAGGCGGCCCCTCACAGGCTGTGCCCTGCGGTGGGGCAGGGGGCAAGCTGGCAGCTCTGGAGGAGTTCCGGCTGCAGAAGGAGGAGCTGACGGAGAAGTTCGTGTCGCTGGAGGACCAGCTGCGGAAGCAGGAGAGCGAATACAAGGACTACGTGTACAACCTGGAGAAGAAGTCGGTGCTAGACAAGGACAGGTGGGCAGGCCGGGCGCCGGGGCCTCTGGAGCCTCCGTCAGCCGGGCCAAGCAGGACCCAGTCGTCAGGCCTCTGCTCGCCTCGGCTTCTAGTTGGGGGGACTGCACCAGCTCATTGACTCCCCAGCCTGCTGCTCCTCAGGATCCCAGCTGATTTATGGAGGGTGGGAGAAAATAAACTCCCCAGCTCCAGTCCTCACCCCTGAAGTTCCTCTTGACATTTCTTGTGACAAATTATATTTATTTCATAGGTAATAATACATTGATATGGTTCAAAATTCCAAAGGTACAAACAGTTTATAGTAAAAAGCTTCCTGCTTGTAGGCCCGCCCATCCTGGGGGGATAGAGCATAGAGGTGGCCCTAGGTCCTCTGGGGACCCCCACATAGGAGCGGGGTGCCTGAGGCCGGCACCCACTCTGCCCGACACGCCCCCACTCCCCCCGATCCTGACTAGACTGAAGAAGGAGATCATCCAGCGCGTGAACCTCGTGGCCTCCGAGTTCCGCAAGGTGGCCACCAGCCAGATGTGGGACACGACGAAGCGGGCCATCACAGAGAACAGCGCTGTGACCCTGCAGCTGTCCAAGATCTCCCAGCAAGGCTTGCAGCTGCTGCAAGAGAACGAGCAGCTCAAGGGCACCCAGGACAAGCTGTGCAAACAGCTGGCGCTGCTGGAGAACACCCAGAAGCTCATGGCCAGGCACAGCAGAGGCCGCCAGAAGGTGCACCCACCAGGCCCTCATCTCGGGGCGTTTGGCACGTAAAGCCGGAGGGGCCTAGGGGCCCTGCCTGCAGGGCAAACACAGCCCGGAGGGGTGGGCCCCGGGCTGGAGCTGAGTCACCAGGGGGGCAGGAGGGAGGGGATGGGGCCTTCCTCGTGGGGGCTCCAGGGTGCTGGGCCCAGCTCTGGTTTTCCTTTATTTGGTTTAAAGCCCCTATAACTTTTTGAAGTAGAACACCCCCCAGGGGAGCTGGGGGCTCTGCCCAGCTGTTATCCAGAGACGTGGCCTCTCTGTACAATGGGGTGAGTCCGGCGCTGGGGGAGCGGGCTGGCTGAGGGCCCGCGGTGGGCCCAGGGCATGGCCACCTGCCCGCACCTGCAGATCATCCTCCTGCTGACCGAGAAGTGCCGTGAGCAGCAGCAGGGCACGGCCGAGGCTGAGCAGCTGCGCCTCCGGCTGAGCCAACAGGAGCAGAGCCTCACCCAGCTGCAGAAGGACAACCAGGCCCTGAGGTGTGGCCTGCAGAGGGGCAAGTGGTGGGAGCAGGCGGGGGGCCAAGCCTGAGGCCATTCCTTTTTGGCCTCATGACACGGCCCAGTGACTTCCCCACTCTAGAGGGCCTGGAGGCTTTGTCTGACTGACAGGCTGAGGGCTGCTGTGGGCTGGAGAGAAATGGCTGGGACCATCACTCTAGAGTGGGGAGGTGGCTGACTCGTCCCGGTCCCGGGCCCAGGAGCCAGAGAGACCAGCTGACCCTACAGCTGGAGCGGCAGCAGGCCGAGGCACGGAGGCTACAGCAGGAGCTGACCGAAGAGCAGAAGGTTCGGGCAAGTCTGCACACAGCCCTGGCCCAGGCCGCCTCCTTCCTACAGAACATTCTGCAGGTGAACAGAAAGTGGGTGAAAAGAGGGGGCGGGGGGAGTGTGCTAAGGACAGGAACTGCTCAGAGATAAACGGGCCACCTGGAGAAGGCCAGGCCAGGGCCAGAGGCCCCATCTTGCCCCTGAAAGACTCCTGGCAAGTCTGTCCTTTTCTGATTCTGCACTTCAAAGATCACTTCAAGGTCTCAAAGGAACTGGAGTCCTCTGAGGCCTCGGGCCTCAGTCTTCCCATTTGGAAAATGGGTATCCCACTGCAGCAGGGAACACTTCGAGAAAACAGGCACTGGGGTTGAGTCTCCCAGAGGTGGGTTTTGGGGCCACAATGGGCCTGATTCCCACGGGCCTACCCTGCCCCTACCGGCAGATGCAGCCAGACGAGGAGGATGGCGACTCTGACGTAGTATTCCAGCTGCAGCAGAAGGAGATGCTACAGCATTTGCTGGCCATGCTCAGCTCAGCCGTGGTCCTGAGCCCCCAGAAGGCTGTGTGTCCCCGCCAGGACAGCCAGCCCCATGGCCCACCCAAAAAGAGGTGAATGAGTGGCCCTGTGTGACCTCAGAGGGGGCAGCTATGGGATTTGTCCAAGGGCTGTCCTCAGGTGACCCTGGGCCAGAAATCTGGCTCCTCCCCACAGCCAGTCCAAAACTCAGCCACCCAAGATGGGGACTCCGCTGCAGCAGCTGTCCGGCATCACACCCTACCAGCCGGGGGACCTGGGCCTGGTGCCTCGACAGCTCCACATCCCACCCAACCCTGAGGACCTCAGGCTGCTCTCGCACACCACCCGTGTGGGAAACTTCCAGGCGCACAGCAGCCCTCAGGTGAGAGTGCCAGGGGCCCCAGTAACAGCAAGATGGCGGCCAGCCCTGGGCACAGATCATGGCTCTGTCAGCTGTGTGGCCTTGGGGATGTGGCTGGGCCTCTCCAAGCCTCCATTTCCCCATCTGTAAAATGGGCCCAAAAAAGGTGTGGCAAGGCCTCAGTGAGCTAAGGGAAGCCCACACATCCCCTGGGAGCGGGGCTTGCTGGACCCTATTGGCTCCTCCTCCACAGGGAGGAGAAGGGTGGGAACCCCCAGAGGAGGCCTCAGCTTTCAAGCCGGCATCTTTAATCTTACAGATCCACACCTCTGGTTCTCAAAAAAAGTTCAAAAAGTTTAGTCTTCCCAAAGTTTCCCTACCTTCCAAGTAAGCCACAGAGAGAAGACCAGCCCCCATCCCAGAAATGGACCATTCTGGCCACAGTCCCTCCTTTAATCCGTAGGCGGCCTGGAGCAGCCCAGAGAAGAGTTATATAAAAAGTGGATACCACAGGTTGGCGTGGACCTCTGTGGATGTGGCTGGGTGTGGGCACAGCAGGCAGGCAGGCAGCTGTGTCCACTGGTGTCAGGGGCCCGACGAGGGCCCCCGGCTGCGCTCCCGGATGTGGTCCAGGAGCAGGTCGGTGGCGCGCTCCAGCAATGGAGGCAGCAGCTCCTGCTCAGCGGGCGAGAAGCAGCCCAGCACGTGGGCCTGCACTGCGTCCGGGTGCATCGGGCGCCCGATGCCCACCCTTAGCCGCGGCATTGCCTGTGGAGGAGCCAGAGGGGCCCAGGGAACGTTGGTGACGAGTGTCGGGGGTCCCACGCTGGCCCCCCCGACCCAGTGCAGGACAGAGGGGCAGACTCACGTTGGAGTTGAGGCAGCTAATGCAGGAACGGACTCCATTGTGGCCCCTTCAAGGGATATGGGAGGAGCAGTTAGTGCTTCCCTGGGGCAGCACCCTTCACCACTCCCAGCCCAGGCCAGGGTCAGAGCACCCCATCGCACCCTTACCCCACACCAACTGGGAGGCCAGCTTCCCTATCCCACCCTGCCCGGCTTAGGGCCTCACCTGGCGCTGCCCCCCAGCTTCAGAGCCAGTTTCCCCAGGGGCTTGTCCAGCTCATCATGCACCAGGTAGACCTCCTCGGCAGTCAGCCCGAACAGCTCCGCTTGGCACAGGGAAACGGTGGCCCTGGTTACTGGCGATCTGCCCAGAAGGGGTTGTCCCGGCTCACAGCTCCCATAAGGGGAGGCCGCAATTAACCCCGCTTCATATATAAAGAAACTGTGGCTCCCACAAGTACCCAAGGCCATGCAGCCATTGGAGCTCAACAGGCACCTGGAGGTGAACCGGTCTGCCGCAGCCCAGAATGCCCTCTCTGGCCCCTGCGCCCTCCCAGCCGGCCCACCCCTGGTGCCCTCAACTCACCGGCCCGGGCCACGCTGCGCCCGTTGGCGTTCATGAGCCGCCGCGGCCGGAGCAGGACCAGCTGGGCATCCCCCAGCGAGGCCAGGGCGAGGTCGGCGGCGCAGCGCCGGTCGCGCGCCCAGCTCTCCTCCACACCCAGCCGCCGCGCCAGCTGCCCCAGCACAGCCATGCCCACGCTGTGCCGCGTGCGGGGCATTCCAGGGTTCCCCAGGCCGGCCACCTGCGGGCGGCACCAGGGAGACTGAGGCCCGACAACTCTCGCCACCCTCTATCTCGCAGCGCCCCTGGGACCCAAAGCAGAGTAAGGGAAACGGAAAGCAGGGCCGGAGTGGGTAAGGGGCGCCAAGAGGGGAACCAGAGACCCCGGGGACTCCAGAAGGCTGAGGGGACACTGGCGCCCCGATGCAGGAGCGGAGTTCCTGGAAGTTTGGAGCCCCTCGGAGTACTGGGACCCATTTCTAGATAAGAAAACTGAGACAAGGAATTTGGGGGACAGCCCTGGAGAGAATAGCAAAACTAAAGCCAAGGCCCGGGAGCCCCTACATCACCGCCCCCACTCCACTCACCAGCCACCGCTTCCCCGGGGGCCGGGGTTCCAAAACGCACCGGCTCATGGCCCGACTCAGCCGCAGGCCCGCGCGCAAGAGGCCGGGCGGCGGCATGCTGCCCCCATTCACCACCCGCATCCCGCCCCCTGACGTCACCTAGCCCTCGGCCAATCGCGGTCGCCTCCTGGCTAGTGGCGGCGGCCAGCGTCCAATCCGGGATTGGCCGCGGGGCCGCCATGCTTCTGAGGGGCGGAAGTGGAGGGCGGCGGCCGCGTCTGGGCTCCGCCGTGCATACCGCGGCGCGGCGTCCCCGTGTCCCCGTGGGGGTTGTTGTGGGCCTCGCGGAGCCCTAGCTTGACCTCCCAATGGGGAGGAGGGAGCCTTGTTCTGGCCCCCGCTGTGGCCCCGCCTTGCTGCGGAAGCCTGGCAAGTTCTCTCACCGCTGTGGCCTCAGCCTCCACAACTAATAGTTTGCTAACCCTTTTCCGGCTCAAACAGCCCTTGGAGCGCGGGGGCGTGGCCAGAGGGGCGGAGCCTGTGGGCGTCCTGGAGATGGTGCCTAGCAACATGAGAGGTGGGGACCGCGAGGAAGCCGGCTCAGGCCCCGAGATTCTCCTGGAAGGGGCCTCATGACAGACTCCAGCGAGGTGCGGGAGAAAGCTAAAGGGTCGAGGGAGAAGAGACCAAGGCTGGGTTCGCAGGAAAGGTGTTAAGTACGATAGATAGAGACAGGATCAGTGGTGCAATTCAGGAAAGTCTCAGGCCGCTGTGCAGAGAACAGAGGGCTTGGGACGTGGCGGGGGGGGGGGGGGTTCGGAGGAGTGGCCAGAGCTGGCGTCTAGGTAGAGATGGCATTGGCGCAGACGAGAGGATGAGAGAAGAGGAGGGATCTAAGGGCTCATTAGGAAGAGGGACAGACAGGACTTGAGGACTAATGGGACATAGGTCTCTGGCTTGGATTGCTGGCAGAGAAGGTGGACTCACGGAGGTGGGAAAGCCTGGGGTAGAAGTCAGGTGAGGTGCTCAGTCTGACCTGCTGGGAGTGAGGGTCCCAGTGGACATGCAAGGTGCTGCAGGACCCCCGGGGCCTGTGGCTTGGGGCAGGGCCTGATCTGGAGACATTAGTGTCAGGAGCTGGAGGTGGGAGCTGAAGGGGACCAGGAGGAGAGCAGAGGGCAGTGTGAGTGTGAGAGCCCTGACCTCTGACCTTGACCATAGAGGAGAGAGAGAGGAAGGACTGGAGAGAGAGAGGTTGGAACATCACTAAAGTGTTCGGGGCTGGGAGTGCCACCAGACCCCAGTTCACACCTCCTACCAGGCCTCATTTCCACTCTCCTCCACCTGAGGAGAGTGTGTAAGTGGAGAAGGGGTCGTCTCTGAGGCCTGCTCCAGCTTGCTGTGCCTTCGTTCTAGGATGCTCTGGAGCTTGACCAGGCTTCCTCCCAGCACATCCCAAAGCCGTGGGTGTTTCCAGTCCCAAAGGGGATCCTACAGCGCATCTTTGGGACCAGCCAGGTGTTCCAGAACTTTGATGATATAAAACCAAAGGTCACGGGGTTAACAGTGCCCCTCAAAGTCAGGGAACAGTGAGTGACTCCCTTGCCCTGGGGTCCCAGGTTCCTACATGCACAGCCATTGACATGCTGTACAGTCTTGGGCCAGTTACTCTCTCTCCCTGGGCTTCAGTGAACTCGACTATCTAATAGAGCTCTTCTACCTCAGCTGATAAAAGGCTGCCGGCCTGATGAGCTCCAAGAATGGCAGCCTCCTCTCCCTGGGTCTCTGTCTACCCCTCTGTCTCTCCCTGCAAGTCCCCCTCTTCCCAACCCACTCCTGCAGCCCCAGCTGTGTGCCCTAGGCTAGTCCAAAGTCAGGGCCAGCCCCTCTGCCTGTGCCCACTGCCCCTGCAGCTACCATCAAGGCCAGAAATGCTTGGAGCAAGAAGACTGGGAGGCGGCCGTGCTATTCTTCTCCCGAGCCCTCCACCTGGACCCCCAGCTGGTGAGGGGGAGGGCCTGGGGGGCATGGGCAGTTGCTGGCACAACCTCCCCCTCACTGTCACATCTGGCGGGTCCCTCCTCTTAGGGGCACCAAGTCCCCGCTGGTAACTGAGCATCAAGCCTCAGGGCAGATTGGGGCGAGCGGTCAGCAGCCTGGGTCCCCTCTCCCCCAGGTAGACTTCTACGCCCTAAGAGCCGAGGCCTACATCCAGCTCTGTGACTTCTCCTCCGCCATCCAGAACCTGCGGAGGGCCTGCTCCTTCCAGCTGGAGAACACCCACTACCTGGAGCGGTTCTGCTTCGTGCTTTACCTGCAGGTGCCGGGGCTGCCCCAGGCCCGCGCAAGGCACCCGCCTCACACCCGGACCTGCTGCCTCTCCCTCCAGCTCTGAGGGCTTTCCTTGCTCCTGGGACCAGCTCGGACTCCCTGGGGACCTCCTCGTCCCTGTATCTGTGTCCCCACCTGCTGCCTCTCTCATGACCTCTCCCACCTCCCCAGCGGGTTTACCCTCAGGGCTGGGTAAAGTTTTGCAGCTTTGTCCAATAGAACTTTCTGCAGGAATGACAATGATCTACTCTGCACTGTCCAGTCTGGTAGCCACTAGCCACATGGAAGTGCTGAGCCTTTGAAAGGTGGCAAGTGTGACTGAGGAACTAATTTTTAAATTTTAATTAATTTAAATTTGGATAGCCACATGCAGCTGGGGGCTATCCTATTGGCGAGCACAGGTCTAGAGCGTAGAGGCTCTAAGCACTAAAAAGGTAATAGTACCCCCATCTGCAATTCAAAATAAAAACAATATTAAACCATAAAATGCCAACAAAGTCCCAGATTTTCTGTTTCTCTCTGTTCTTATGTCTCTATTGCTGTCTATCTCTCGCCACCTGTATATTTCTTGCTGTCTCTCTCTAGCTACAGAGAGAGCTGTCTCTCTCCATTTCTGTGTCTCTGTCTCTTCAAGTCTCTCCCAGATCTAACAGGCTTTGTCTCTATCTTTTGTCTCTCTCCCCTTCTGCCCCAATGTTGCCCCCCTCCAATTGATGGGTGCTGCTGGGCTGGGGTCACAAGCAGAAGTGACTGCCCCTGTGTCCCCAGGGCCAGTGCCTATTTGAGCAATGCGCCTTCCTGGACGCCCTGACCATCTTCTCGCAAGCCTCTGAGCTCCAGCCTGAGAAAGCCTGCTTCCGTTACCGGTGGTGAGCTCCCGGCCATGTCCTCGCGGGCCCTCGTTCTCCCAGCAGCCCCTCCTGTCCCTCTCACCCAGTAGACAGAGCACCTTTGCCCTCCACCCTCAGCATGGCCTGTCTCCTGGCCCTCAAGCGGCATGCCGACTGCCTCTCACTCGTCACCAAGGAAGTGAAGTGTGGCACGACCAATGCCGATGTCTACATCCTCCGGGCCAGGCTCTACAACTTCTTCCAGAAGGTAGCGCAGGGAGGGCAGGGCAGGGGGTGGCCCTCCCCCAAGCCTGGGTGCCCCCAGCGTGCCCGAGATTACAGGAGGCGGCTAGGCTGTCAGTCAGCCCAGAGCCGCATCCCCACAGTGCTGTGGGGGCCCTGTCCTCTCTGCGCAGAGACCCCGACTGGCGCTGACCACTCAGCTGCCCACTTGGGTATTTGTTCCCTCATCACTCAGTCCTGGCTCTGTGCCAGGCCGGCGCTGGCCCCCATAAACCACAAGGTGAGAGACCTATGCTGTCCCTGCCCTCACAGAACTCACAGCCCAGGGCCGACGTCCCTAAGCAGATAATGACACACAGAATGATTTCACGAGTGTATGAAGCACCATCAGGGGCAGCCAGGATCCATTAGATAAGGTGGTCCTTCCTCCCCCTCTTCCTCCTCCCTCCCTTTCTTTCCTTATTTGCCTCAGTGAGCATTTACTAAGCACCCCCAGCTGGAGCACCCCCTGGGCTGGGCATGGGGACAGACAGTACAGGGGCAAGGGAGACATGAAGTCACAAGGGATGGGGGGAGTGGCGCTGGGCAGGGAGGAGGGGACTGCAGGTATGTGAGGGTGTCGGGCAGGGTCTTGTAAACCCAGGAGGACCCTGACTTCTTCCCTGGGGCAGCAGGAGCCTCAAAAGTTGTTCCCCGTGGCAGTGGGCTTTAGAAATATCCTTCTGGCTGCCAGGGGGAGTGTCGGAGGGGTCAAGTCTGGAGGCCGGGAGCCTGGGAAGGACGCCAGGTGCCATCCAGTATGTGAGGAGGGGGCGCGGGGAGGACAGCCATGAGGGCGGTCAGAAGGGGGCAGTTCCACAGTCCTTTGGAAGTTAGGACCAGAGACTGAATGGAGGCAGGCGTGAGGGAAAGGAAAGGATCCAGAACAATGCCCGGTGTTCCAGCTGGCCCGGTGCGTGGGAGCTGGGACACTCAGGATGGGGAGGAATGGGGCGGGTGGGACTGGGCGGGGTTCACCCCAGCTTACCAGGTGTGGCGTCCTGGGCATGCTGGGGGCTGGGCTTCTGTGCCCACAAGTGAGTCAGTGGGAGAGCCTCCTTCAAATGTAGGAGACTAGTAATTATCAATAATTATCGTTAACTCTCTGGATTTTAGCCGCTCCCACCACCCCAGCCCCCACAATGCACAGGCACGTTCTCAGCACTTTACTCATGTTTCTCTCCAAGGCTTGCAGTGACCCTTTGAGGCAGATACAATCCATTGTCCTCTTTTCACAGATGAGGAAACAGGTCCAGGGGGACTGGGTGACTTGCCCAAGGTCACACAGCCAGTTCTCAGAGGTGCTGCCCTTGAACCCAACTCTACCTGCTCCAAAACCCACCCCTAGCCTCTGCTGTCTTCCCCTACCCAAACTCCACTCATACCTGGTGCCCACACTGTTTGCCCCACTCACTCTCCAACCAATTACCCTACAGGACACAGGGTGCTTGCTAAAACTGTTGACTGACTGACGGACCTGCTCACCCAGTGGAAGGTATTTGCCTGGGGATGTTTTCTGTTCATCCCCAGGCCTGAATCTGTTCTTGGTCAGAGATGTCTTGGGCTTAAGGTCAAGGGAGTGGGGGAGGGTATGCAGGCAAGGATAGGGAGGACTTGACCATCATGATCAGGAGGCCACGCCCTCCTCCACCTCGCAAAAGTCCTCCAAAGAGGCAGCATCTGTAACCCCATTCTACAGCAGAAACTACAGGGGTTG